ACCGGGTACCACTCATCTCCACTACAAATAGGAAAAAGAGGCTACAATTTGCAAGAGCTCACCAAAATTGAACAGTTGAAGACTGGAAAAATGTTGCCTGGTCTGATGAGTCTCGATTTCTGTTGAGACATTCAGATGTTAGAGTCAGAATTTGGCGTAAACAGAATGAGAACATGGAACCATCATGCCTTGTTACCACTGTGCAGGCTGGTGGTGGTGGTGTAATGGTGTGGGGGATGTTTTCCTGGCACACTTTAGGCCCCTTAGTGCCAATTGGGCATCGTTTAAATGCCACGGCCTACCTGAGCATTGTTTCTGACCATGTCCATCCCTTTATGGCCACCATGTACCCATCCTCTGATGGCTACTTCCACCATGTCACAAAGCTCTAATCATTTCAAATTGGTTTCTTGAACATGACAATGAGTTCACTGTACTAAAATGGCCTCCACAGTCACCAGATCTCAACCCAATAGAGCATCTTTGGGATGTGGTGGAACGGGAGATTCGCATCATGGATGTGCAGCCGACAAATCTGCGGCAACTGTGTGATGCCATCATGTCAATATGGACCAAACTCCCTGAGGAATGCTTCCAGCACCTTGTTGAATCTATGCCACGAAGAATTGAGGCAGTTCTGAAGGCAAAAGGGGGTCCAACCCGTTACTAGCATGGGGTACCTAATAAAGTGGCCGGTGAGTGTAGTTCAACATGATGAAATGTTAGAATATTATCAGTATGTTATTCTAATGTTGATCTAGCTTACTGCTAGTCTCATACAGCCAACAAACTAACACATAGAATAACATAACTTTCAACACACTCAAATGCAGTTTAGTGTGATAGTGTAGACCAAGTGAAGCAGCGCTGCGTTACCTCACAAGTTTCATTCGTCTAATAAACTGATCTGTGTGAGTAATTTAGCACTTGCGTGTAGTTCGGTAGGATTAATTGTTCTTATTCCTTTATATCCGCGGGACTCGCGTGTGGCGCTGATATCTGTCTCCTTATTAGCAATCGCGTCCTGCTTCACACCACAGTCATGATAAAAACATCAATGTATTCACTCATCCATAAACATTTTTAGATCATCAGCCTACGCCTTTGTTATTGTAAGAGGTTAGCGACCCTTAGCGGCGAAATAAATTACATATTGTATCTTTAAAGGAACTCAAACAGTCACGAGATGGCAGAGGAATTTTTGTTTTCTAAATATCTGGAAGCCGACACAAAGGGCAAGACCATTTTTAACACGCTTTCTGCATATCTACAGGAGGAATCACTGATGGTGCCCTATGGTTGGCAGGTACCGTGGGTTCACCGCTCTGCTGAAGGAGCAGGTGCCGCATATCCTCACAGTCCACTGTGTTTTGCACTGCCACAACCTTGTGGCCAAATGCAACAATCCAGTTCTCCACGAGTCTCTCCATGTTGCAGTCAAAGCAATAAACAAAATAAAAGCCCATTCCCTGAATGACAGACTGTTCCCACAGCTGTGTCAGGAAACGATGAGACTTTTGAGCGGCTTCTTCTCCATACTGTTACATTTTGTCCACTGGCTCTCAAAGGGAAACTTGCTCGTTTTTGTGAGCTGTTTGACAGCATCTTTGAATTCCTGGAGGAGGTTGATGGAGATCTCAGGGAAAAGGTGTCATCCAGCCACTGCAACATGATGTACCACACAGACTTTTTTGAGAAAATGAATTAAGTCAAGTTAAAGCTCCAAGGAAATGGACTGCATTTATATAGCGCTTTCATAGACCCAATGGCCACCAAAGCGCTTTACAATTTGCCTCACATTCACCCATTCATACACCGATGGGCGACGGCAGCCATGCAAGGCGCCATCCAGCTCGTCGGGAGTAGCTGGGGTTAGGTGTCTTGCTCATGGACACCTCGACACTTGGTCAGGTGGAACCGAGAATTGAACCACCAACCTTCCGGTTTGTAGACAACCCACATGAACCACTGAGCCACTGCCGCCCCAATTACAAATTACATCACTCTGGTCAAATCCAAGGCGGTTATCCACAGTCCCACCTCTAGGCTAGATCTCTACAGGCAGAGTATAGGCAGGAGGCAGTTTGCTCATTTCCCACAGCTGGCCAAGGTGATCTTTTTTTCAGAAACAACACTAAATCGATATTACAGGCCCACTATTATTATAATTAGCCTAATATATTTTATTTCCATCAATACATTGTAATGTTTATTATTTCGAGTGATTATATTGAGTCTGAAAATACAGAACTATAGCACACATTACCTTATAAATATAAATAAACATTTTTAGTAGAATAATAAGCAAAAAAAAAAAAACTAATTCAAATTGGAGATCAGCTTCAGGGACCTCCTTAACCTTGATGATCCCAGTTGGGTTTGTGCAGCCCTTTTAAACGGATGTGGTCGAATGCGAGCCCGCTATTCAGGAGCATCTTGTCGACATCCGGTGTGACGACGAAGCAAAGGGTATTTTTGCACCTCTGGCTGGTGCAGAATGTGGGTCAAATATGTCCAGCGCTATCCGGCTCTCTGGCAAAAGATCAGGCTGCTCATTCTTGCTTTTCCAACAACATATCTCATTGAGCAGGGATTCAGCCAGGTCATCCACATTCAGTCTAAGGACCGCAATCGCTTGGACTTGCATGCCTCAGGCGCACTACGGCTGATACTAATGTCTCTGCAACCCGCAGTAAAGAAATTAGCAGAAAAACATCAATCACATGCAGGGCTCACACTAATTTTCTAATCAATTTAGAAAGTTTGAATTTGAAAGTTCAAATAAATCATTCTGCTCTTTTCCCTGTTAATGTTCTCCGTTGAAAATAATTTATAAGAATGCTACTTGTTTGCTGACTGGCTGTCCGCGGTATAGCTGCTGTTAATTGAATTCTGAATGTCAAATTTGTAACCGTTGCATTTTTTGTCTGCTCTTCACTGATTGGCTGCTATTTGCGATAAGCCACATAATTAAATGTTTAATGTCAAATTTGTAACCGTTGCATTTCGTTAACAGTGATATACACTGATAAATAGGCTAATTTCTAATTCAGATTACTTTTTTGCTCTCTGGGACACTATGATAATAATATCCCCACTGTTCAGTCAAATCAAATCTATTATTTGGCTTTTAGTGATATGCTTTTTAACTATACATGAAAGCTGCAGTCCATAACTTTTGGCGCTCTAGCGGTAATTTTAAAAAATTGCAGGCGTCTTGGTACTGTGCAGGTACTGTGCAACTCCGCAGCGGTGCCGAGTGCAGACTCGAACCAGTCAGGGGCCGTTCACATATCGCGTTTTATGCACGTGCAAATTCGTTATTTCAAATGTAGGCACGCTCATAATAGAAGCAATGCTGTCGGTTGAAAACATCTCAACTTTTCAGAATGCCACAAGCACACAGCAGGTCATGTGACAAAAACCAACCGATCAGCTTCAGCCTTTCAGTAACAACATTGAGAGCTCGGCCGAACAGCTGATCATAGCTGTACAGGGCGGGTTTTTATTTCTCATCTCCATAAATATATCTAGTAGTAAAGCGAATGCAAGGGCTAGAAATCAATTAATCCTTTGCTGATACTTCCTCTTCATTATGTCAAGGAGAACGCAGTTCAAGGTTGCATAGCAATGACAGATGCTACTGAAGCGCAAGCGCTTGTGGAAACAAGGAGAAAGCGGCGCGGTACTTAACACTTATTATAGGTGTACCTTAGTAATTCAGGATAAGACAAAAACACGGTTTGGAAAATGGATTCATGATGTACTCGCTCATTACATAAATGTTGCACATTTTAAATACAGAAAGTTATGGATTTAATAATAAAATGATAATAATAAGAAGAAAATAAGGATGTGAATAATACATATTATTATGATTAAAACAGAATGATAATCAGCATACATTCAATAAAGACATTTAGCCCTTTTTTGGTGGTGATGGTGCTGGGGGGACCTTGATAATGGATAGGGGGCGCTGGCCCAAAAAAGGTTGAGAACCACTGTCCTATGATTTCTTGATACTTCAATAAATCCATCTTGCCTTCCACACGCTGCAGGTTTCCAGTGCCAGAGGATGTAAAGCAGCCGCAGAGCATCACCGAGCCACCAACATGCTTAACTGCAGGCAGAGTGTTCTTTTCAGCATATGCTTCATTCTTCTACCTCCAGACATACCGCTGATCCAGAGGGCCAAAAAGTTCCATTTATTTATTGATATATATGGGTCAGTAGTGGTGTACATCTTGGTGTTCTGGCATGCGTTGAGTAGCCTACACACTTTACTATGCAAGCTGAAATTTCAGTGCCTGTTGGCACCAAGTCTTGCTGCAGGTCTTTGCAGTCACTCAAGGGTTTTTCTGAACCTGCCTTCTCAGAAATCTGGTTGCAGCCGTTGACAGCTTCCTTTTTCTGCCCCGTCCATGTGGTGTAACCATTGTTCCTTTAACTTTGAACTTGCGAACTATGCTTCCAACAGTGTCTCTAGTAACATTTAAAGCCTTCGTTGTCTTTTTATATCCTGTTACTTGTTTGTGAAGGGCGATTATATCTTCTCTTAACTTTTTGGACCATTCTTTTGACTTTGCCATATTTCTAACATGCAGTCAAACGTGACGCTCAACAAACCTAGCCAGTTCAGATGTGTTCTAGCTCAAGCATATCTGGTGCAACTAATGAAGCCCTTGATTAGTTGCATCAGGTGTGCCCGAGACAACACATGTTTTGCAGATTTCTGCTGTTGTGGGGGATTCTATTCAGGGGGTTGAATCATTTTGAGACTGCAGAAGTCATTAAAAGTTGCATTTTCAGTTCAACTTTAAAAACATTGGTTGTGTTGAGCTATTTCAATTAATGGATTTGTTCATTGTAAACAGCTGAAAGTCTGTACATTTTGTCAATAACCCTGATTTGCAATAGGGGTTTCGATTACAACTGTATGTGAACAATTATCGAATGGTTTGAAAAAAGGATATGATTATAGGTTAGGTAGCAGCACCAACCTGACAATGAAGTCACATCGGATTGCCTGAAGAATTTTCTTTTCAAAAAGAATGTGTGCTTCCTGCTTCTTTGCAACAATATGCTGTTTACTGATCTTCTTCATAGCAAAGTACTTTCTGTGCTGCAAGGTAGTTACCTAGAAAACAAGCAAATATATTCGTATTTCAGGAGGTCAAATCAGAACAACCTTACTATAGTATGAATGGACAAAACAGTGTTTTGAATTCAGAACATGTACTGACAAAAATGTTTTAATAAATCTACTCTCATACCAGTTCCACTTTTCCAAACCCCCCAACACCAAGAGTGACAGGATCTCCTTGATAACCTCCCTCCTGGTACAGTACAGGGATGAGCTCTTTCAGCTTTAGAGATGTTTCTGGCCTGGAGACAGCAATACACATAATATATTATGTATAATTCATATTCTAACTTATTTTAAAGGCTTTATTTAGAAGTAGACAGGCAGACCACAATAATTCCTGCTATGTGTATAGGAAAAACTAGATTCATACAAACTCAGATTAATCAAAGGCTTTAAAAAGATGTTATATGGTAGTAGTGTATGTGAAACAAGATTAATATATGACTGTGAGTTTGTTCTCTGTCCTATCTGAATTATTAACAAAATATCTTACCCAACTTTCTCTGGCTTTTCATCATCCTCCAGTGAATCAGCACTACAAAAACAATTTGTGATCAAGAAATATGTTTCAGAATGAAAATAACCTATACCACTGATGCAAAACACTAGAAAAATCATATTTTCATAAGTTCATAACTTGAAGCTGGTTGGAGAACAGAATGCACACTAAATGTTGATAATGAGCCACCCGTAAACAGGTCAGGAACAGCACAAAATGTTTCTACCACCTGTCAAATATGTTACACAGACAGCTAGCGAAGAAATGCTCTCTGCTTATGAATCATTTTGTGCAAAAATGGGTTTACGGACAAAATAATTTCTCTACCCAACAAATAGCACCACAGGTGCAAGCTTGCAGACACAGATATGTGAGTCATATCAAGTTAATTTTGGGTTAACAAGTCCATTCATTTCCACCAGTCTGACCTGCATGCAGATTTGTAAACATGAGCATTGGTTCAATGGCAGACTAATCAGACAATCACAGTGATGTGGAGGCACTGCCTTTTCTTACTTCATTTATTTTGTGTTAGCAAATTATATTTGTTTTGGTACTATCAGTTATTTTAGACCTGCACAAAACCAGCACTGTATAAGAACAAAAGGCGGATCTGTATTTCAGTAAAGTGAACAGTCTCAACTCTCTGATGGACTTTCTGATGGCTTTTCCTCTTGATTACAAGTAGGGGGGGGGGAATGCACTACATGTTACAAGTGACTAAGCTGAAGACTAGACTGGATATCTTTACAAATATAGAAGTCACAAAGCAGGAAAACTCACTCGTCATGGAGCTCAAGGCTCTCAAATGGAATGGTCTCCTCAAAAATTCTGTGAGAAATTAAGGACAATATTACATTTTTAAACAAATCCTCAATCAAAGGAATCATAAACAAATTAAATGAAGTAATATTGTCATCATTGACATCAAACTCACTCTTTATCAATGGAAAAGCAAGTGACACCTCCAACCGCTGTACATGTGGCTGTCCTAAGGATCTCTCTGGATTACAATAGAAGATTTGGTTGACTTTTACATTTAAACCAGACAGAACAAGTATTTATTCGTGACACAGTGCTAATGATGTTGTCACTAAGTAGCAGTGACTATGGTTACCGTATCCCAAGGCGTAATATACTGACTCTTTTGCCAAAGCGTCTATATCCCACGCACATGGCACCCTTTAGCGTCATATGAGATGCAGATATATGGCGCCTCCTAGTGGTCTAACCCTAACACTACCCCAGACCTAAACCTACCCAAAACCGAAGCGTGTTATATTGACGCTAAAGGGTGCCATATGCGTTGGATATAGACGCTTTGGCAAAAGAGTCAATATATTACGCTTTGGGATGAGAATGCGTTGGGTTACCGTATAAGAGCCAGTTCTCCAAAATGTTCCCCCTCGCCCATCTTACGAATTATTTTCTGCTGTCCGTTCACTTTTTTCGTCACTAATACCTAATGTGAAATGAACAAAATTATAACTAATTTTAAGCAAAGTTCATTTAAAATGATGTTTAATACAAACACAGACCATTCTGTAGTATCTTTTATAAAATAGTTGAGAAATATGTGCAAAGTTTCATGTATAGACTTCATGTATTTTGTGTAAGGTTTAATTTTCTGTGTAAGTGCTGGAAAGCACACATTTAGATTAAACCCTTATAACTCCTAAGTCATATACATAATACTTGTGTAAATATAAAGAAATAAAACATGTAAATAATGCAATCAGTGTTTCAGAGGATGTTCAAGAATAAAACTATCCTGAGATAAGAGAGCAACTGAGTTTCTTTTACCTCTCCTTTTAGAATGATGTAAAAAGTATTGCCCTCTGCTCCTTCTCGGACAATGACTTCGTTGTTCTGAAACTTCACCTTGCAGGGGAACAAACATGGATAATACATTGAGTCATCATGTCATGCTTAGAAGAAAATATTCCTGAAGTACAAAACAAAAGACAATTTTACCTTTAATTCAAACATCATCTGTTACTAAACATACTTCTGATTACACTAAACTCTCATTGACCATTCCTTTGAATATCCCATCTCTAAGTCAATACTTTGACTAAATTAAAACTACTGCAACCAACAAAATCCTAATGATGTCTCGAGATAATTTTTTTAAGGTCAGCAAGTGCCTGCAGGATTTCTCTCGGAAAGATGTAAAACACGTCGGGACCTATTAAGAGCGCTAAATATTAAGCACGGTAAAATGCAATATGTCCTACATACACAGGCAGAGTAAAAGGAGATTGGGAATTTTTGTGTAAACATCCACTAAATCTCATAAGTGGCTTAGCAAAATCACGTTTCACAAATGCTAAAGCCATTTTAACCAAACGTTGAGTCTCTTTTTGACAGAGTCTGGTATATTTTCTCCAAGAATACTTAAAGCATCCTTATTTTACAATATTTACTTATTATAACAATCATGAGTCTATTTACTATTTATAAGAGTAAAATCACACTGACTTCCTCCATGGAATCAATGATCTTTGACAGCTGCACATCATTCAGGGCCTTCAAAGTGCGCGCCCTGGTGGAAACAATTATGAACAATAGAGTTTACTCAGCAATAATAGACTGATATACATGATGAACAATATACAAACAGTGAAGATTCAAAGTGTGCAACATGCAAAGCATCTAATATTTTACTAATACAGGCTAAACCAGAATGTGTCTTACGTTTTCAAGAAGCCCATGAGTTGCTCTCGTCTCATCTTGGATTTATTGGTCATGAGGCTTCGATATGTTGCTCTCTCAATACACCATAACTTAACTGCAGTGACGGCTGTGGGTAAGAGAGTATAAAACACTTATTTAACACATCAGCAGGGGGTAACCCGGCCACATCACTCCAGAATGATAACTGACCTTTGACAGATGCTGTGCGTTTACAGTTGTATAGAATGGCCAGTTCCCCAAACATATCGCCAGAGCTCAAAGTTCGCAGATCACGTCCCGCCTGAGTGACCTTCAGCTCCCCCGCTAGAATGAAAAAAGGAATTTAAGCTCATCGATTCATTTCAACTGTCGAACAGTATTCAAACAAGATGTCTTTTTCAAGAATTGTACTGCCATACCAACACATTCTCATCCCAAGGCGTCATCTAACTGACACTTTAGCGTCAGTTAGATGACGCTTCCGTTATGGGTAGGTTTAGGTCTGGGGTAGGGTTAGGGTTAGACCACTAGGAGGCGCATCTCATATTGACGCTTAAGGGGTACCATGTGCGTCGGCATGTTGACGCATGGTCAAAAGCGTCAGTTATATGACGCCTTGGGATGAGAACGGGCTGGCCATACACTTCAAAGATTTGTAATAAAGATTTTGGTAACACTTTATAATAACTACACGCTAATAATCATTAGTTGAGCATGAGTAAACAGTTAATTCATCATTCATAAAGCATTAATAGACATTAATAAGCAGTTTATAAATACAGCTATAAATGCTTTCTTCTTGATTTACCAGCATATCTATAATTTATTTAATAATTGTATTTTCATCCTTTATTAATGATCAATTTATTATTTCTAAATGATTAATTGCATTTTTTATAAACCAGTTATTTAAGAGTTTTCAGTGGTTCACAAGATTACTTAGAACGTGTAAGTAAATGATTAATAAACTATTTAAATGTACATTCATACATCTTATTATTCAGACATATAGTGATGGTTACTAAGTGTGTTAATAAATGCTTTATTAACACGTATTTAAGCTGTAATTCAGGGTTTATTCGGGTAGTTATAAAGCATTTAGTAGTGGTCAGTTAACTATGTTTGTGAGCTCATCTAAAGTGAGGACTATTCATGCCTTGTAAAGCATTTATAAAGGAGATTTAAAGGATGTTAAATATTTCTATGTTCTGTATCACTGTGTTGTGTTTGTTACATTTTACTGTTTAGAAGATTGATGCGCCTTTAAATCTCCTTTATAAATGCTTTACAAGGCATGAATAGTCCTCACTTTAGATTTCACTTTCTAAGTGATCTTATGAATAACTGACAACTCTTAAATAACTGGTTTATAAATAATGCTATACTTCATTTAGAAATTATTAATTGATCATTTACAAAGTATGAAAATACAATTATTAAACGCATTATAGATGTGCTTATAAATCAAGAAAAAAAGTGTTTATAGCTGTATTTATAAACTGTTTATTAATGTCTATTAATGCTTTATAAATGATGAATTAACTGTTTACTCATGCTTAACAAATGATTAATAGCATGCAGTTATTATAAAGTGTTACCAAGATGGGTAATGCAGTACAAAAAAAATAGTAAAACAATTAAAAATTGTTTTCTATTGCACTATATTTGAGAATGTAATTTATTCCTGTGATGAATTTTACCATGTCTTTATATAGCAGAAATAGAAAGGGGAATCTGTTAGTAAGCATTTCTGAATTCAGCGACACTTAACTTGGCATTCAGTTATCTCTCCTTACACATACACACCAGCGACAATGTACATGCTGTCTCCTTCTGTGCCCTCTCTGATGATGACATCACCAGGACCACAGTCCAGAACCTTCATCAGTTCTACCATCATACTGATCTGCTCCTCATCCAGACGACGGAGAAAGTCGTTCTTACCAATGGCCTTTACGATCTGAGCTGCCTCACTGACACACACAAACAGAGCATGACGTAACATCTGAGGTTAGTAAAACAAAAGTGTTCACAGAGTTCTTGGTTAATGTGTGTATAGAGTTACCTGTCAGTTTTTTTCACTCTACTGGCTGTGATTTCCAGGACTTCTGGTACTCGCTCCGGGGCCATGACAGCTGCCCGACTCTCTCGAACCTCAGGCATTTCATTACTGTTTCGTTGAGGGGCGCAATCTGGCACGCAACATTAGGTGTCAAATTAACATATCTTAATGTGTCAAAAAAAATGTTTTATACATTTAAAATATTGTGAAAAATTAACTTCAGCTGAATGCCTTGGATGTAAGTTCTCCATGTTTTTTGATTACCCAATAGGTGACCCAATCGTCCAAATCGATATATAGACTGATATATGAATTGTGCAGGCTTCAAGCAAAATGCTTCATCAGTTTGATCAATTATAACATATAATATATGTTATAATTAATTATTAATATTTTAATAATTGTAATATGAAGGAAGCAGATGAAAGTGGATGCAGTTAAATCCATTAGTCTGTGCTGTCTTACCGAGCTCATCCAATCGTCCCTGCAGCACTTGTATAAATCCCTCTTTCTGTTCAAGCTGTCTCTCTGTAATAAGAATACAATATTCTAGTGTGCATTGTCTAGTGGTGATGAATCACCATCACATTCCGTGTACTCAAATATCTGAAAAACCATTCATATTATGATATAGTAATCTTACTCAGCTCCTGGTTCTGGTTCTGGAGTTCCTGGTTGAGCTGGCATTCTTTCTCCAGCATTTGTCGGATTTTCTTGAGTTGGGCTTCCATCGTCCTGATAAGATTCACCTCATGACACTAACAAAGAGCAGTAAAAACTCACATGTCACACAGCTAACAGTTAATATGTAACTTCAACATTAAGAAATAAAAATACTGATCCATTGAACCAGTCGTCAAAATGAATGAATGATCACCATCCCCAGATAGCAACTTTGTTTCGGCCCAGATCTGGCCCACATCTGGCACTTGTGGAAAGATGATCTGGCCCACATGCAGTGTGGAATGACGGCCCTTGGGCGGACCGCTCCTGTTTGCCAGATCTGGGCCACAAGCAGGCCATAGCAATGCCACATGTCAGCCAAGAGCAGAGAAATAAACCAGAACTGGACCTTATCTGAGCCACAAAGTCTGTGTATATTAAATATGGAGTCATTTCAGCCTTAAAAAGCCTTTTAACAAGCAGAATCACAGAAGGAAAGAAGATAACAGAAAAAGAGACGAGCAGAAACACAAGAACTACAACTGACTTCAGACACAGTCTAAGATGAAATCCACTGAAGAGAAAAGAAGACATTAAATCTCTCAAGATCTCAGCAGAGGAGGATTAAACAACTCCACAAACAGCATTACCAGCTTCACTTATTACTAACCAGGGGTGCGTTTCCCGAAAGCATCGTTAGCCAACTATGGTCGCAAGTTGGTCGCAAATCCCATTGAACTCTATTGGTAACGACGGAACTTGCGACCATAGTTGGCTAACGATGCTTTCGGGAAATGCACCCCAGACTGACTTTATTTCTGTCAGATGTCTACAAAAGGTTTTATTGAGAATTAACAGAGGTTTAACTCTAATGTGTTTCATTTGAAGTCACCATAACAGTGATTAGTGTTTCCATTAGTTGGGCTCTTAACTCTTATTTGATCTTTTGTCTTTTTTGGCCGCTGTGACAGTGTGTTAGTCAAACATGTTTGCAATAGCAAAGAAAGCCAAAGTGAAATGAGATGGTTACCTGTTGATGGATTTATAATCATTATGAAATAACCTGATTTACTGATGTCATTTGAATCTAACCAAATCTAACAATTGTATTGAAATGTTTCCAGCGGATTTAAATTTAAAAACAGTTTAAAAGCAATAATACGTGTACCAGATGTGGGCCAGATCTGGGCCGACACTATGTTGCTGTGGGTTTCCATCTGAGATTTCTATCTGTCTCACACAGTTGTTTGAGCCGTTCAGAAAGGATCTGACACTGTGGATCCTCATCTTCACATGATAGAATCCACAAATTATCTTGTGTGCTTAATTGCACAACAAACTAGCAGTTATTTTTAACAAACTACTCTAGATTTTAGGTAACATTAACAATAGTACTTAGAGCATGATTAGGTTCAAGTGAAGTTGGAACCCCTGCTTCACTTATTGGGTCCCGAGGGCTCTGACACATTTCAAACACTGGTGCTTAACCCTCTGGGGACCAGAGTGTTTTCGGGGCCCTTGGGATGTTTTGACATGCACTGACATTTGTGCTTTTTTCAGTTATTTATAAACATGTTAATGGCAAAGGTGTAAATTCACTCTATATAGCACAGACGGGACTACCATGATAAGTGAGCAACATGTATGTACATGTTTGTATTTTTAAGAGAATAATGTTTATGCGTGGTTTTTGAAAAAAAATTACAATGAAAGTTGCTGAAATAAGACCACAAAACACATTGATTATTTCTTCACAAGACTTTTGAAAATTGTATCACATAGCCTAGAATATTTGCTCCAAAACTATGTGAGAATCATCCTGACTACTCATTCAGATAAGTCAATAAAGTATTTTACATTTTTAATGACGTGTTTTGTGTCAGAAAGCTTTATGCAGGAGGCGTGATCTCTCATTAATATGTATGGCATTTCACACTTGAGAAAGACAAAGACCCTCCCATAATGGCCCTATTAGGTGCTATCAGGCCATATCATTACAGGAGCCTTGCACAAAGAATGAGGAGATTTAAAAAAGAATGGCTTTTAGATTGTTTGGATTTATATAAGGAAAATACAGGGTGCATACGTCTGGACACTTCTATCACACACCCTTCACCATAAGGACATGGTTTTATTTCAGTTCAAAGTTCAAAGTTAGAGTTGGAAACATCTTGAAAAGAAAATTGTCTTTTTCCATAAATGTCTTAGTTTGATCATACATATTTCAAAGTTGAGGATTCATTATTTTGATATAGCTTGAACAAACACTATAACATCTTAGTTGATTAGTTTATTGACAAAACATACTATATATTTAACATATGAGCAGAAACTCCTAACAAAAGCTTATTTGATGTCTATTTTAGAGTAAAAACTTTATCCAAAACGAGTCAACGAAATGTTGTCTGTTATTTAGTCTGTAACAGTACGTATCTGTGCGTTCATTCATTCATTCATTCATTCATTCATTCACACACACACACACACACGCACACACACACACCCACACAAAAATGATTCACAAAAACAGTATGCTATTTTTCCGTTTACAGACACTAACGTTATTCTATATACGTTATTAGACTATAAACGTTAACTATAAACGTTATTAGAACAAAGCACTTGCATAAAACACTTACTTCTCAGCTGAATCTGTTCATCCTCGAAGTGAAAATAAACCAGCACTTGTTCTGTGGTAAATTGTCCCAGGATTGTTCCTCATATAGCCGCGCAAGACAACAGTAGATTAATCTGACTAAAAAATAATGTGTGTTTTCAGAGTTTATGGGCGCTAACGCGTCTCAATGTGTTGCTTCACATATTTGCGTTTGAATAGCGCGTGCTCTCCGTGGGCGTGTCACATTACCAGGGATAATCAGCTGAGAGAACGATAATGAGACGGGCTGACACGTCTCTCTTTTTATTTAGATGACATAAACGGAGAATATTAATTTTAGTTTTGAATCGGATCATTTAAAAGTACAAACTCAAATGATTTAAAAGATATATTGCTTATGGCTGGGTGAATAGTATTAGCTGAGTTGTGTTGAAGATTAGAGACGTGCTCCAGAAAAAAAGTTCACCGTGACCGAGAGGCAGAACGCACACCCTGTTTATTTTCTTTATTTTACAAAAGCACAATATTTTATTTCGATTGTATGTGGGCACATAAAAAAGTAGACATTTAACAGATTATTTTCTCATATTTCTTAGCTCTATATGAACAGAAATGATGGTAGTACTTTAAGTCTATTTTTCTGCTATGTGAAAAAAAACGAGCAAAACGCGCCGACGCGTTTCTGGTCCCCAGAGGGTTAAAAACAGAAGACAGAAAAAGATCAAATTAGACCCTTGGAGTGAAATGGGACACAAGGACCACAGTGGCATGTTTAGACTAGTGTTAGTTTTTTTATATTAATACTTATCATTCATAGGGTTATTATTATTATGTAACCCCGTGGAGCACTGTGGATGGCTACTAGGGACGAACATAGGCATTGCACTCCAAACAACCTTTTGCTGACTTTTGAGAATTCAGAATTTTTACTAGACATTCTAGTCGGAGGAGCTGCTTTTCGATACAAGCGCTTCAAGGGAAACGTGCTGGTGATATTCATCTGGCGAATCTCCACTCCCTCGACAAAAAAACAGACAAACTACTCCTCACCCACACAAACAGTGACTTCTCAAAGTCTGCTGCTTTTTGCTTTACGGAAACCTGGTTGAATGAAGCCATTCTGGACTGTGCATTAGACCTAACACGCTCCCAGCTGTTGCTCACACAGCGGATGTTCACACTGCAAGCCTTAGTGCTCAATTCTGATTAATGGGCTCTATGCACGGCGGTATTTCCGGTGAAGGTCTAAGGATGCTGGATTACTTCCGCCGATCGTAGAGTCCAATGCTATTCCGAGAATTTATATTGGTTTTTATACTCTATTGCTATACTAAAGAAACATCACAAAAACAGACAAAACAGACACCCCTCATTTTGTTTATGCTTCTTTGTTTATTATATTAAATAAACATAACTATATATAAAATTACATCTAAACGTATTAAAGTTTCGTTTCAAAGACGAGAGGACAGTAAATTTTGAAGACTCTGCCATAATCCCGTTTTCCTCGGTTTTCCTCCGCTTTAAATCTCCCCAACCGGAAACGCAAGAGCATCCTTGCGTCAAACGCGGAACTTATGCGTGCATATAGCCCATTGCTCGGATCCAATTTTTTTGTATAGCTGTTCACGTTGTTGTTTTAAATGTGGCCAATATCAGATTTCAGTGCAAACAGATCATGGAGTTCATAGTGGAGTTCAGGAAGAACACCCCAGCACTCCCCCTTATCACACTGAACAGCACTGTGGCCGTCATGGAGTCCTTCAAGTTCAAAAAGCTTCAAAAGCTCAGCAGCTTTAGGCAACAGATGAATTTCAATCTTCCACTGGTTTAATATTAATATACCTTTATTTAACCAGAAGAAAACTCGTTGAGATTAAAAATCTCTTTTTCAAGAGTGTCCTGGCCAAGACAGGCAGCAGCACAAATAACAAAGTTGCAGACATAAAAAAACATATATATATATATAACATATAATAACATAGATAACATATAGCATAAACATAAAAAATAGAAGCAAGGATCATCCAAATAATTAATCATAACAACTACAGCCAGTATGTGTAGCCTCTATATCATTTAAAAGTAATTTAAAAGCAGCCAGTGAAACTGGTTCCTGGAGATTTAAGACATTTTGCAGTTGATTCCATGCGCTGGGGGCCGCATACATAAACGAACCTTTTCCCATTTCAGTCCGGACATGAGGGACGGACAACAACAATAAGTCCTCAGAACGAAGACAATATTGTCCTGTGCCTTTCTTTTTAATATAAGATTGAAGGTATGGGGGAAGCAGACCAAGAATACCTTTATAAATAAGAATATGCCAGTGATTATGCGTGGACAATGCCGACCAACCAACACGATCATACAGAGAGCAATGATGGGTAAGTGCTCTAAAGTTTGTGATGAACCTAAGGGCTCCATGGTAAACAGTATCCAACAATTTCAAGCATTGAATGGATGCATGCATGTATA